ATAGAATAGAATAGAATAGAATAGAATAGAATAGAATAGAATAGAATTCTGTATTGGCCAAGTGTGATTGGACACACAAGGAATTTGTCTTGGTGTAAATACGCTCAGCGTACATAAAAGAAAAGAGACATCCGTCAAGAGTCAAGAATCATCAGGTACAACACTTAATAATAGTCATAGGGTACAATAAGCAATCAAATCATACAAAGAAACAGTCAGTATAAATCGTAAGGATACAAGTGACAGTCACAAGTGGGAGGGGATGGGCGATAAGGAGTGATGAGAAGATTAATAGTAATAGTAGTGCAGACTTTGTAAATAGTTGGACAGTATTGAGGGAATTATTTGTTTAGCAGAGTGATGGCGTTTGGGGAAAAAACTCTCCTTGTGTCTAGTTGTTCTGGTTTGCAGGGCTCTATAGCCTCGTTTTGAGGGAAGGAGTTGAAACAGTTTCTGTCCGGGGTGTGAGGGGTCTGTAGGTATTTTCACAGCCCTCTTTTTGACTCAGGGTGCAGTATACTGGTCCTCGATTGAAGGCAGGTTGGTAGCCATTGTTTTTTCTGCAGCCCTAATCACTCTCTGTGACACAGTCTGTGTCTGTCCTGTTGGGTTGCAGAACCGAACCAGACAGTTATAGAGGTGCAGATGACAGACTCCATCATTCCTCTGTAGAATTTGTTTAATCCTTTTGTTTTGTTAACGTCATTTTTTGTTGTTGCTTTAAATCTTTCGGTGCTTTCTATTTGAACCTCCTTTCCATAAACTAAAAATTTTCTGAGAAATACTGGAGAGATTTTAGCTTCGGTATATAGGATCTCCTGCCAGATCTCTAAGCACCTTCCCATTTCTGTATTCAGCTGAAACGCCAATTTAAGTTGGAGATTGGGACGGCTCCTGCCATCTTGTGTGCCAAGAAAGAGAAGGAAGCTTGGCATGGTGTCTAAACTAGCTAACTTGGGGAAACCTTTTCAGCCGCGAAGAATTGCTACCAAGGGTGGCTTCCCCCGGGGAATTAATTGCAGTTGAGTGAAGCCGGGCCAAAATGGAAGAAAAACAAGGAGAAATCAGAGCTGGGCTTGGAGCCATTTTTGAAAGGGAAACAGAAAGAATACCAAGGTTGCATTCACACAATCACGAACCAGTTTGGCCAAAGACATGAGGGCTGAAAACAAACTGCAGTGGGTTTGAACCTGGGTTATTATTTCACAAACTTTAGCTAACTTTAGCTAGCTTGTTTTCCTATACAGGTTTTCCTCGACTTTACAACAGTTCATTTAGTGGCCAAAGTGACTACAGAGTTGAAAAAAAGAGAGTTTTTCACAATTACAACCGTTGTAACATTTCCCTCCTGTGGTTACATGATCCAAATTCAGACGCTTGGGGACTGACTCATTTACGACGGTTGCAGGGTCACGGGATCACCTTCTGACAAGCAAACTCAATGGGGAAAAGATTCATATTCACTTAACAACCGAGTTTCAGTGATCCACTTGATGACGGTGGCCAGGGACGTCGTAAAATGGGGCCACACTCCCTTTACAAATGTTTCAGGTCGCCGACAGAAATAACAACTGTTCATTCGGGGTGACAAGAGCACTGAAAAAAAATGACTTATGACCGTTTTTCACACTTAACGACCGTTGGCAGCATCCCCGGGGGACACGTGATCAAAATTCAGCCGCTTTTGGCAACTGGTTCACATGTACGATGGTCACAGTGTCCCCAGGGGTCATGTGATCGCTTTTTGTGACAAGTCAATGGGGAAGCCAGATTCACTTAAGAACCGTGTCACTAATTTAAGAAGTGCCCCGATTCCCTTAACAAATATCTCGCTGAGCAACTGAAGTTTGGGGCTCAAATTGTGGTCATAAGTCGAGGACTACCTATTGTTGTGTCCTGACAGCGGACATTGAGGAGGTTGCAGAGGAACATGGGCCATTCCTGGAGTCTGGGGAAGTCTCTGACGAGAGCTCTGCGTTGCAGAGATGCGGCCAGGGCCATCCGACAATTAGCTGCCTTTGGAGTCGGAGATCAGTGGGGAAGAAGAACAGCTGGAGCCTGTTCCCATTGTGCGCATGCACAGAGTTGCCTGATGAAGGGAACAGTTAAGGAACAAGGGTCGACTTGGGAGTAAAGGCTCAGGTGGATGGTGAATGGCCCCTCCCATAGGGAACAAAGAGGAGTGAAATGGGAGGGGTGTTTGCTGGAGACAATTAGTTCAATTAATTAAGGTGAAGATCTGTTCCTGACTTCTTGCCAAGTAATTGCTGCTACAGCGTGGCGTTTGGAAGCTATTGGCCTGGCAACTCTCCAAGCCGGATAAAGGTCTGTGATTGTGAAATCTCATGAAAAGACTTTGCTGGAGAGGAATTTACTTTAAAGTGAATAAAAGGGGTTTTATCGGGATGAGGAATCTGCTTCATGACCTTGGGAAGCCTCGGTCAGAGCACATATACAGGGAAGAGTTTCCAGAACCAGCTGTTTTTTTAAAAAAAGCACAGCTTGCTTCTTTCGGGAGTTGTCTGAAAGCGTTCTCTTCCCCCCCCCCTCCTTCTACAGTTCTGCTGAGCGAATACGTGGACGACGGCGAGGTCAGCGGGAAAACCTTAAAGATCACCGATTTCGGCCTGGCCAGGGAATGGCACAAAACCACTAAAATGAGCGCAGCCGGGACTTACGCTTGGATGGCGCCGGAGGTCATCAAAAATTCCACTTTTTCCCGGGGTAGCGACGTCTGGAGGTAAGGAGGGAGAGAAAGAAGGAAGTTTCTCCAGGTGGACGGAGGACTGGAGGTTCAAAGCCTGTTTGGCCCTTTGACCCTGTGTGGAAACTGATGGGCAGCTTGCCAGGAAAGAAAAAAAGAGTTATTTCAATGCGTGAATAGCAATAGCTCTTAGACTTAAACAGGTAATTCTCAACTTCGTTTAGTGACAGTTCGAAGTTACAACGGCACTAAAAAAAAATGTAACCTAGGATCCTTTTTTCACAGTTTTGCAGCAACCCTACGATCACATGTTCAACATTCAGACACTTGGCAGCTGGTTCATATTTATGACGGTCGCAGTGTCCCAGGGGGTCATGTGATCCCCTTTTGCGACCTTCTGACAAGCAAAGTCAATAGGGGAGCCAGATTCACTTAACAACCATTTGACTAACTTATCAACTGCACCAATTCACGTCACAATGGTGGCCAGAAATGTCTCCCTTAGGAACAAAAATTGTAGTCGTAAGTCGAGGACTTACCTGTATACTGCTCATAGTGCCACAGAGTGTCACAGAGTCAGCCTTTTGCCTCCAACAATCTGGGTCCTCATTTTACCCACCTCGGAAGGACAGAAGGATGAATCAATCTTGAGCTGGTCAAGATCGATCTCCTGACTGTGGGCAGTTTGCTTGCAATTCTGCATTCTAGCTGGAAGGGAAGGGAAGGGAAGGGAAGGGAAGGGAAGGGAAGGGAAGGG